TCTATTGTAATTTGGTAGACCGAATGCGGCAAATAAATAATTAATCTACATGCAACAAAGATTGGTCAATCAACGAACAATACTTTGTTATTGTGAAAAAACAAGCACCGCTTATTTTTCTTACCATAATAGCAACCATATGAAGGTGCCGTATTTCGTGGTGTGTGACACTATTGCTACAGCATATAATTTTGGGGGCACTAAAATTTTCACTATCAGCACCCCAACCACCCTATATCGTACCTCGTGAAATGCCCTGTGTTGCACAAACAAGCTGCAGTATGGTATCATAATGTTGAATTATCGTCAAACGGCGAAGGAGAAATTGAAAACTCCGAGTAACGCGATACAGAGAACGATTTCTCCGTAGATTCCTTCATACACACGATGATAACACCGCAGTGTCCTATATTTTAGCTCTGTAAATATCGCAATTTCATTGACGAAATGATATTGTGATTGCTATCTTATACCTAGCATTTCGAGTGGAGAACGCATTTATCCTTCTAATCTAAAAATCTTATTCCAATTTTCCATATTAATGACTACCTGTTTACTATGTATAAACATACTGGTCCAAATAAAATGAATTTTCTGTTTCAAGGTTCATTTGTTTAAGGCATACGAATTCCATATTAACGGTCTGTGTTTTGTAAATGTTTATTGTTAACACGTAACACTTACAAGAATACAAAATAAAAGGCAATTTCATTTTTGTAAATAATTGAAATACGCCTCCGAAATCAACTGTACTGTTTATAAATAGCGTACAGGGCGCAAACGCTGAATGAAATCATCTCGGAATTTACTTATTGCAAAATTTTTCGTAAATAGAATCAATAAAAAATGTTTCTTGGATTTTAATCAATTTGTAAAACTTATCTGATTAGTTGATGTACATAACAATAAATAAATAGATTAAACACTATGTTATATAAATAGGAAAAGGAAAGAAACCATTGTAGAATAAGTTTGTAGAAAGTCAAATGTAACAATGAAGGCTGTCGCCGTGAAGACAAGGCTGTGATGCAACCTGTGCCATAAAACGTATATTTGTGACTCGAGTGTCTTTAAATAATTAAAGTTGACAAACTCATATTATTTATTATACAAACTCAATAATAACTCAATAATAAAATTATTTTATTGTTAGGAACGTTAAAAAGCGCATCGAGCATTCGCGTGATTTAATTGATCACACTCAAATTACGTATTACACACGCGTTAGCTATTATATTAACACGTATCATATATGTTTCAATCATAAGCTATTGGTTAAAATCTTATCAGAATTCTTAATTATTTCTAAATTTAAAATTTGAAAATGGATTACGCAAATTGTTTATACCGTGAACAAGGAAAATATATAAAACGGATAATCGTAACATGTGCAAAGATGCAATTGAAAAGTACAAATTGAAAGTTTCTATGAACTGGTGCCTTATCGTTCAGCTGAAATAGAAACAATCGATAAACGATGTAAAAAAATAAACAATAAATAAAATTAGAAAAAATGATTAACAAATTTTTATTTGATAATATAATAAATAGAATAATATATACAGTACATGTATTATACGTAATATAATTATATAAGATTATTATTCTTTTTTAAGATAAATCAAAAACTTTCAAGTTCTAAAATAATAACTTCAAAACAATAGTTTATATGATTATACTATATATTGATTTATTAAATTACAAAAGCACAATAAAAATTTGTATTAAACTCATATTAAGGTATATTAACTCTTATAATTTATATAGAGTTTATAATAAATTTAATTTTTAAAAATAATCTTTATAAATTTTTATTACAATAAAATTATTTTTGAAAACATTTTTTTTATTGCAAAATTTCAGGAAAAAACTATCGTCTATTTTATTTATTATCAAAAAAAAATTATCTTTTAATTTAATTTGAACAAAAATTCAATATTTCTTATAATTATTAATATACTTATTTTTATTTATTACATGTAATTAATTACCTATTTAAATTTTATTAAAATTAATAAAATTTAAAATTATTTAAAATCATTTTTAAAAAATTATCTGTGAAACTTTATACTTGAAGATTTTTAATTAGAAAAAATATTGATTTTTTCTCTTGTTATGTTTTTTTAATTAAAAAATAGTTTTAAACTTTTTTCTTTGATTATTTTAAAAATAAATATTATAATCTTACTTTTTACCAAATTAAAATATAATATTAACTTTACCTTTAAAAAATAAAAATATAATATAATATTTTTTTTTACTTTTTTATAGTTTTAATTTGATTTATTAATTTGATTTTTTTTTTATAAAAATATTTTAAATATTTTGAATAGGTTTTTTATATTTAGCTATAAAAAATAAACAGAAATATATTTTGAAAAAAAAGAACAAGTTATTTTTTTACTTATTTTATTAATTAAAAAATTAGTATTGTTAATATATATATTATTATTATAAAAAAAGAAAATTTTTTGAAAATATTTGTTTTTTTTTTGAATTGATAAAAAAAATTACATTTTTATTTTATTATATATAATATAATATATATTTAAAAAAACAATATATTTTACATGTGTTAATAATAAGTTAAACATTAACCTAATTACAATAATTATTTAATTAAAATTTTAAAACAATATAATTAAATAAATAGTATTAAACAATCATAAATATCTATTTAAAGATAAGTTGAATTAAAAATTGGAAATAAACAAAAATAAATCTAAATAAAAGTTTTTGTTATAAGAGTAAAAAGATTGATTGTAACATTATTTTATAAAAAAAAAGAACTTATTAAATATTTGAAATTGAAATTACTTGACTTGAACTTATTGTAATTGGAGTTTTGATTCATTTCATTTAATTCCAATAAACAGTAAAATGTTGGCTGCATGTATACTTTTTTTTAATTAATTAACTATTTATTGAAAATTAAAAATTAAATTTTTTACAATTTTTTTTCCACACTATATTATTAAAAATATCAATTAATATCATTATTTATTGATATGATTTTGCCCTCGTTTTATATCAAATAAAACAAATTTGATTTATTTATTTTTTTTAGTTTATTCTTATTTTGGAAAATCTTTTAATTTAAATTACTTAATTTTTATTTGAAAAGGTTTAAATACATGTACATGGTTTTTATTAAAAATCTTCGTAAAACATGCGTACGGATATACTGTAAATTATATTATTTCATTGAGCGTTAATTTTTGGATCATTAATGTTCGAAATCAAGAAGTCGACCTTTAAAACCTGGCGATTGACTTGCCTCATTTTCGGAATTTTGGAATGTCGAAGATTTTTAAAATCAAGAAGTCTACTTGTACAAATAAGTTTACTTGTACGAATTTGTTCACTAGTGCGACTAGTCGGCTGACACATTTGGTTCTCCTCATTTTCATTCATTTTACTTGGCAAGTTCGAAATTAAAGATGAAACCTTTACATGCATTTAAATTTTCACAAGTCTTTTGCAACAGATCGTTTTTCCGGATCTGCATCCAACCATTTTTTATCAATTCAATCATTAAGTATCTCGATGATTTTGTAATTTTCTATCCGTGTGCAGTATAATATAAACGATCGAACGAACCTCTTTTCACACGATGTCTCCTAAATCACTTAATATTGTCATTTATAAATTTCATGATAATCATAAAGTTTGGTTCCTTATTTTGGTAATTTCATAGTGCCGGGTAATTTGAGTACTGTAAGTCATCATTATGAAGATTTTTTGTCTACTGTATATAAATTTTGCATTTTTTAGCAAATATTAAAATTCCATTTACTGTAAATAATACAAAAGGGCATTAAAAATATAATTATCACTTTTTTATTATTCCTTGGATATTTCTCGAGCTATTTATACATTTCAGTGCAACTGTTATTTCCCCGGATCTCTTCCATCGACCATATTCATCCAAATATATATTCTTTCTTCCATTTAGCCAAAGAAACTTTGCACAACCACCTTACCAACTTCTTGATTTTTTTTTGGAAATTTTATATAGAATTTATTCTCGGTACTTTAAACTATTGTCTGCTTATAATTGCACTTTGTATGAATTATGAATGTTTTATATTTTCACTTGTCCCCTTTATCCATTTGTTAAATCTTCTTAAATTGAGAAGGATTGCAAGAAAGACACCAAAAATGGTTCTTTTTCCTCCACATCGATAACGTTTATTTAAGTAATAAATTAACTAATTGGTATAAAATCAAGAAATAATCGAACTAATGGCATGTGACTCAATTAAAACTCATTAATTAAGATAAGCTTACTACCTGTAATCGCAATTAAGTAAGAATATAACTCAGATCACATTTATAATAAATTTATTCCAATATTGATAATCATAACTCAAATTAATATTAAATAAAGACCTTTGATATAAATAAATTTACTCAAAAATATTAATAGTGATTCATAACAATCAAAACACTTACGAATTTACTCAACAATATTAATGAAAATACTGCATTCTTACCTCCTAAAAGTAAAAAACATAACTCTAATCAATAAAACCATTTATATAATTTTGCTCAACAATATTGACAGGAATATGCTTACCGTCTGTAATCGTTATTGGTGTAAAGAATAAAATTAAAATACTTTTGAATAAATTTACTTAATAAATGTCGGGATGATGCTGAAATTGATATTAACATATATAATATAAAATTTATATTATTATTATTTTTTTTTTTTTTATATTAGTTATTATTCTGGCTGGGGTTGTAATAATTCTAATCTGACTTTTTATAATTTTGGCCTAGTGATCTGCATAATTTGATCAATTTCAGCATCATCCCCGACAATAAATATGCTTACAATCTATAATCGTTATTAAAATAAAGAACATAACTCGGAAAAAATATAATACTTACGCGTTAAAAGTAAGAATATAAATAAATGCGGATCACCTTTTGATATGAATTAACTCACGCGATTGGTCAATTGAAATTCATGAATTGAAGATAACGTTTCTAAAATGATTCACGATCTCATTAGTAGCGGCGACGGTAGAAATATTATGATTGTGGAAGAACTGTTGTCCTTCGTACATTCCCCGTATGAATAGCTATGAGAGAAAGGAAAGGCTGATTTACTTATGAAAATTCGGTTATTAAATTAAAATAGGATGTCGACAAGGGATATTCGTATCGAGATCACCGATAGCATTTCTAATGAACACATTCTAATCCGAAGATGAATGATATCGCGGCGTGTCATGAGAATGGTTTACTCAAGACTAAAATCGGGAAATCTAGGAATTAAATTTGTAATGTATTTAGAAGAAAATTTCCCTCGTTCTTCGTATTTTTTTTTCTTTATATTAAAATCGAGAAAATTAAAATTTGTATTCACTTGAGTACTTCGCCTTGCTTTCTTTTATTATACCTTACTGGTTAAGATGTTACTATAGGAAGTGCGAATCATTCCTTCAGAATCCGTGTAGTAACAAGCGTTACTAATTCGACAATTACATAGAAAGAGTCTTATGTTATAAATATAATAAAGCTAAGACGTCGATTTATAAGACACACTACTCAGAGATTTTACTTTTTTATTTATAGTTTATTACTGCAAAAATGATATTATTCTTATATGTCATTAAAAATTCGTATAATTAAGTTTATTTTAATCAATTAAAAGAAAGAATAATCGACTAAAAAAACAATTTCACGAAACCATCAAATACTTTTTTTTGTGGAAAGGGAGTTCGTGATAGGAAGACTTAATATGCACTAAAGCCCGTGTCACTCAGAGAGGTGTATAGTTTAATCGAAGCACTGTACCATCGAAACTTACCGTAACTTTTTGATATCATTACCTCGAAATAAACTACCACCATCTCAGGGTTCAACGAACAATAAGATCAAGCTTCTACCACTCTCCCGTGAGGCAGTTGCGCAAGGAAGGTTCATAGCCGTTCCCTCATCTGAACCAGCGAACCTTGTTACCCACATCACAGACTCGACAAATATATAATGAATAAATAACACTTATCTGTTTTTCCATGACGAGGAGATTTCGATTCAGCAAAAGGTTTAGGAAGGTAACTATTCTCACGGTGGGGAAGAAAGATTTCGGTTCGATAAAAGGTTAGGAAAGTGACTTTCTCACAATAGAAAGACATGGTTCAGTAAAAAAATCAGGAAACTTTACTTGTGAAGATTTGGTTCGGCAAAAAAGTTGTTGTGGCGGGAAGATTTTAGTTTAACAAGAGACCTTGTGGTAAGGAAGCAAATTATTTTTATTATTCAAAGGGTTAAAGTCGCGACATTTAGAAAAGTAAGAACGCGTAATACAGTCATATTTATACGCGTGAAGGTTCAGTAATGAGAAAATGTGACGTAATTTGAATTATGATAAAAGTAGCCAGAAATTATAACGTATTAATTATATTTTCATAATTCTAGCTGAAATTATATGTACAGTAATGTTGATCATAATTTTGGCGAGAATTATAAATTTAACATATTACAAAATTTGATTTAACTTACAGTATAAACAATATTAGTACTAATCTGTAAATATCTATATATATATATATCTAATATATTTTAAACAGATGCTAACTGCGTTATATGTGCAGATTTTATTAATCATTATAAATTTTATAATTATATTTTCGATATATAAATAGTCTATTAATTAACACTAATTTAACTGATACAGTTTGATAAACCCGATATATCAACTTACACCTCAAGAGTGGACTCATACACTAATAAAAATTCAAGAATGTAAAAATTCTATCATTAGTTTTAAACTATCTAACTTTTATTTCTAAAATAACAAAATAATAATATATCAATTAAGTTTTATCTAAGTTTTTTATCACTTTATATCTTCAGCTTATATAGCAATGATACTTATGGTCTTACTTAACACTTTCTAGTAAATATTCCAGAAATTCTTTGATTGACACAAATTATCAAATTTGTAAATCAAATAACCAAGTAAAGCATAACTTCTAAATTTTTTAGTAGATATTCTAGAGGTTTTAATTGACATAATCTATCAAATCTAGAAGTACAAATACTAAGCAAAACACAACTCCTATTTAATTATAAGCTTTATTAATGTATTAATATTTATATTAATGATTATTTTCAAAGTTATCTAATTTTAATAAACATATTAAAAAAAGAAAATAATTTTTAATAAGTATATATTTAATTAAATCAAAAGTTTTTTCTTGTATAATTTTTCTTTTTAATCTGTTTCAACTCATGATTATTAAAAAACCAAAGGTTCTATCTTCATAATTTAATTGGATAAAAACTCAATTCAGATGTTTGAAATTATATATACAGAAAAATTGATAAACCTGTATACAAGTTTTATTAATATACTTTAATTTCTATAGGCATTAAACTAGAAATATATACAGTAGTGACAATAAAAACTGACAATTTTTTTTTTTTAAAAATTGTGACATCAAATGTTTTTTCTGTTATGCCAATACCAAAATTAATTAGAGGTATGTTTGTTGCATTTTCTAAAATAAAAAAAAAGATCTTTTAGTGTCATAAGCATAACACATGGCTTTGCTTACAGAACATTATCTTCTTGTTAAGAGCCTTTAAAAATGTGGATATAGAGAAATCAAAAAACTCAAAAAAAAAATTATTGAATTTTCTAGCAAAACACTTTATAAATGGACTGTCCAGCTTTCTAGAACTAGCAAGACAGACATCTTAATTATCCTTGACTTCTTAGCCTTATATAAAAAAAACACCTTGGAAAAATCATTGTGAAAGATAGAACTATAATAAGCAAAGAAATAATTGAAACATTTAACAATACTTATAAAAATCTCAATATTTTATCACAAATAATTTGAGACAATCCTTAAAAACTCAGATATAATATATATATTTCTCATAAAGTTTCTTTTCTTAATAAAACAGTTATGAAATGTCAACTCACTTGAGCACAAGAACACAAAAAATAAATAATAAAATAAAACTATTTTTTTAGATAAAACTATCTTCCAAATGTTTCACAATATGACATGGGTTCATTGCAAAGTTGGAAAGCCAGTTCTTATCTGAGAAGTTGTAAAATATCCATTCAAGGTTCATGCGTGAGGTTTGTTCTGTAGCAAAAGAATTATAGGCTTTTACACTTTTATGGAAATCCTGAATAATGAACTTTATTATAAGATACTTGTTCAAAACTTATTTGAACAAGCTGATAGAATTCTTGACTACAAATGTATATTCCAACAGGATAACAATCCTAAGCACCATACAAAGTTTATGATTAAATTATTGCGAAAATGATATCCATATATTCTTGATTAATCATCTTCATCTTCAAATTTCAATCTAATTGAGAATCTGTAGGCATTTCTAAAAAAAATATCAAGAAGAATATTGATTTTATGATCTATAAAAAAAACTGGTTTCACAAAATGATTTTATAAGAGTAATAAGGACGGAATGGAAGTGAACCAATGTAGAATTATGTCATAAATTAATAAGGTTAATGTCTAAGAAAATAAAATTGGTAATAGATAATAATAATAGTGAAACGAAATATTAAAAAAAAATATATATATTATGAATTATATATAATAAAATTTTTAATTTTAAAAATCAAAAATGAGTAACTTTTATTTGATTACTTAATTGTTATTATTTATTGTTACTACTGTATTTAAAAATCTGTGAGCACTATCTATTATGCTATTGATCTACAAGTCATATATTTAATATTCTAAATTATATTATTTAAATATAATTCAATTTCAATTTTGATTATATATTTAGTTATATTTATTTATTTAAAAAAATTAATAATAATTAATAATAATAAAAACTTTTTTATACATTGTATATATTATTTTTTAAAAAAAATTTTTTTTATAATAATTATTTAAAATTAAAGAAACAAATATTTTTTTTTAATATTTATAAATTTTATATATTTTTATATTTTTATTATAAAAATCTTATAAAAATTAAAAAAGTATATTAATATATTAAAATAAAATTTTTGATTAAGAAAAAACAAATTACAAAAATTTTTGTTACAGTATTTTTAATTTTTATTTTAATTTTTTTTCTTTTTGCCTCTAATCAGACTGCAAAAGTTGCATTTATTCATCCAATTTTGGAAAACAATAGTACAATATATAATACTATACTAAAGTTAAACTATCTCGTAATTGCAGAACACTCGTCAATGAATTTAGATTTGTACGTGATCCTTGAATCCTTAATATCAAGACCACCGTGTTGTCACATGATCTAGCTATTTATTAACTATTTCACTACAAGGGAGTAGGTTCATTAAGCTATTATTGCGTAATATTAACTATCTTAAACTTTCTAAATCTAAACTCTCTAGATGTGATCATT